CTGAATGGGAATAACCCTCAGAGGCTCTGGTATCTGAATGCTTGGTCCCTAGTTGGTAGAACTGTTTGAGGAAGGATTAGGGGCTTTGGCCTTGTTGGAGGAGGTGTGTCACTGGAAGTGGACTTTGAGGTCTCAAAAGCCCAGGCCATGCCTAGTCTCAATCTCCCCAGCCCCCTCTCTGTCTCCTGCTTGTGAATCAGGACTTAAGCTCTTAGACATTGCTCCAGAGCCTGCCTGCCTGTCTTCCACCTTGCTCTCCACTATGATGAACATGGACTCACTCTCTGAAACTGTAAGCAAGTCTCCAATTAAATGATGCTTTCTTCTGTAAATTGCCTTCGTCATGATGCCTCTTCACAGCAATAGAACAGTAACTAATACAGCAACCAAACCTGACAACCTAAGTATGATCCAGGAACCCACAGGGCAGAAGGAAAGAATGGATTCCTACAAAGTGTTCTCTTACCTCCACACTTGGCAGGCATGCAGGCAGCATGCACACGTGCGTGCGCACACACAAAGTAGTAGCTAAAAAATGTTTTTAAATAAAAAATAGTAGTATCTAATTTCTGCCGGACAGTGGTGGTGCAAGCCTTTAGTCCCAGCACTCAAGAAGCAGAGGCAGGTGGATCAATGTGAGTTCGAGGCCAGCCTGGTCACTACAGGGCTGTTCCAGAACAGGCTCCAAAGCTACACAGAGAAGCCGTCTTGGAAAAACAAAACAACAAAAAACCTAATTTCTTTAGCCTGATGTTCAAGGATTGACACAGGTTAAGTAAGAGCATGGCTGTGAGAGCTCTGTGACACAATGCTTTCCTAGCATATACAACATCCTGGGTTCAATCCCCAGCACTAGGGGAAAACTAAGAATAAACAAAACCAAAGACTCTCTAGGGTAATGGGTAAAGGAACTTGGTACCAAACCTGAAGAATTCCATCCCTGGAACCAATCAACATGGTAAGACAGCCAACTGCTGCAAGATGCCCCTGCTCTCCACACGTGCACCCTGGCACACACAAATAAATGGAAAGGAAAACTAAACTGAAGAAATCCCACCAGTAATTCCCACACTCTAAAGGCTAAGTAGGGGATCACAAATTCCAGTCTAGCCTGGGCCTGGGGTACAAGACTCTGTCTTTAGTTGAGTTTTCATTCCAACTGAGGTTAGAAGGGCCATCTTAAAAGAAAAAGCACAACTCATCAGCAAACTAAGAAATCTTCACAACTTGGCCCTGTCTCTATACCACAGCCACGCCTCCCTCGGAAAGCTCAAGGCTCTGGCTGCACTGAGCAGCTCAGAATTTGATAATCATGATTTCACTTAGGCTGGTCCCTTTCAGGAAGTGCTTGCTTGTCTGTAAATTCACTCAAACCTTAGGTACAAAAGGTGAAGTTTCTTGAGCATGCTCCATCTTGGCTCTATGGAACTCCTGGCAAGCGTTAACAATCAATAGCTTAGGGCTAAGGACAAAGAGGTGCCACATCAGGCCAGGGTGTGGTGGTGTGTAACTTTAATCCCAACACTGGTGAGGCAGAAGCAGGTGGGATCTCTGTGAATTACAGGCCAGCCAAGGCTACATAGTAGACTCCAAGACACACACAAGCACACACACAGGCACACACAAGCACACACACAGACACACAGACACACACACACAGACACACACACACATATCTCTTATAGGTATCACCATTTTACTCATGTTGTTATGTCTATTTCATTTTGCCTACATAAGTATGGTTAGCAAAGAAAAATTTGGGTCTCAAATCTTTTTTAAAGTAATATATTAAAATCACTGGTGTGGCGCTGGAGAAGATGGCTCAGTGGTTAAGAGCACTGGCTGTTATTCCAGAGGTCCTGAGTTCAATTCCCAGCAACCACATGGTGCCTCGCAACCATCCGTTATGAGATCTGGTGCCATTTTCTGGTGTGCAGATATACATGGAAGCAGAATGTTGTATACATAAGAAATAAATAAAATCTTTAAAAAAAAAAAAAAGAAGAAGAAGAAGCCAGCCTGCTGTCCACATAGTGAGTTCCAGACCAGCCACAACTATATAAAGAAACTGTGTCTCAAAAAATCAAAATAAAAAACAATAATATATTAAAATCAGTATGCTTCAAGAGAATACACACTATTTTTAGACTTTTCAAGCATACACCTAGTCACATGCAGGAAAATGAAAGTCTAAGATAATTATTATTAAAGTTACCAAATTAAGGTTTGGGTTGCCACTGCATTCAAGTTTTTAAAAGGGAGAAAAACACTCAGGATTTAAAAATATCCATCCTGTCTATTCGTGCACATGTTGGAGTAAAACTGTAAGAATAGGGATCCTAGCAAAACAACTTCTTGAGTAAAGAGTAACTACACAAGCTCACAGAAATTAGTAGTTATATAATAAACAGATTTATTTTTGAAGTTCAGTCCCACACTTTAAACTAGGTAGTCCTGAATCTCACTATGTCTCCCATCTTGGCCTTGAACTCAAAGCAATCTTCTTGCCTCAGTTTGGATTACAAGCATAAGCCATCACACCTGCCTCAGAAAAGAGATTTAAAATATTAATACCAGAAATATGAATATAAAGAAATTCTTAAGTTATCAATGTCAACACAAATATTATGAGCAAAATCTTTAAAGGCTATACACTGAACCCAGAGCTCCAGAAGAAATGCATTATATTTAAAAGTTAAATGTATCTTTATTATGTAGGGCCTAAATTAGTCAACATTACACAGCCAGTCGTGGTGGCACATGCTTTTAATCCCAATACTTGGGAGACAGAGGCAGACAGGTCTCTGAGTTCAGGGTCAACCTAGTATACAAAGATAGTTCCAGGACAGCCAAAGCTATGCAGAGAAACCCCCGTCTTGAAAAGCCAAAATCAAAACAAACCAAAAGACCAGCATTACTGACTAAAGAAAGTCAATTTGTAGGTTAAAAGTATTTTTCTTTCTCATGTAAGAAAAATGAATTAAAATTTCAGTCAAATTCTTTTTAAAGTAGTATGTAGGCCACTGAAGTCAAGTTCATCCTGGCTTCTTAAATTCAAATTTAATTAGTAATTACATAGTTATCAACAATCTATTATGGACACTACACTCAACATTGTATTAGCCATATAAATATGGTCCTCCAAAAAGGAAGAAAAAAAAAAGATAGCATAAGATACTTATCAACTGTAGGTCTAAACAGCTAGTTAAACCAAAAGGCAATGCTCTATTACCGAAGAAATCCAGATAGCCAGAATCAGCAAAACTACATTACAAAGTTAATAGCCTCCACCCTTAAGATACCCCAAGAGAATAAAGAGAGTGATTCAAACTGTTAGCATACGCTACACAGTACGAACCTAAGCAACCAGTCGGATGCATTAATAATCAAGTGACCCAGCCTTTACCAAGTATCATCCTGACTGGGACTTTCAACCAAGTGGATGCAAAGACTCAGAATCAAAAGCGCAAACGCAGAACTGCAAGCACAAACGGCCCAAGCAGTCGGTGAAGGATCTGGTTCTTTCCTTCAACCAGTGAGTCTCTACTTTGTGATAAAGAAAAGGTA